TTTTTACTTGTAAATTCATCTTTTCTCTCTTAACTAGTATTTCATCAAAAGTTAGCTTCAACTAAACTATAAATGGTAAAACAACTGTAGGAAAGTAAGATGTATGTGATTCTCCTCAAAAGACAGGAAACAAAACTATAGTAAAGCTTTGTTACCTGTAGCAAGGCACAGTGTCACTAGGAACCAGATTTGAGGTCAACATAACACCAAGAATTTTCAGCTCTCAATCAACATTTATCTCTCATATTAGAAGATTTCAAAGTCATTTCTGCAGATATTCTAGTGCTTTCAAATCTAGGATGCCCTTCTGAAGTGAGCTACAAGAAAACTACTAAGGCACAACCCCTTGGAAGCATTCATTCTTTTCTAAGAGAATCTAGTATGTGCCGGTGCAGTGCTGCCACCATGTGGAGCAGCCTCTGAAAAAGTGGAACAAAATCACTCCTCGAGAGCAGTAAAATAAGGACTCATATCCATCACTGGAATAAGAGGATTGAGATTTCTTTTTTTTTTTTTTTTAATCTTTCGTTTTTGTTTTTTTTCTTTTTTGAGATTTCTATGATGAAGCAGTGTTCAGATAATTCAGTCTTTATGTATTCAAAAATGTAAACATTTTGAGAAAATGAAGCAGTTTGTGTGTGTGTGTGTGTGTGTGTGCATGGTGTACATACACATTTAAATTCTTTTTTTTATTTTTTTTGAGATGGAGTTTTGCTCTTGTCACCCAGGCTGGAGTGCAAAGGCGTGAGATCTCAGCTCACTGCAACCTCCGCCTCCTGGGTTCAAGCGATTCTCCCGCCTCAGCCTCCCAAGTAGCTGGGATTACAGGCATGCACCACCAGGCCCAGCTAATTTTGTATTTTTAGTAGAGATGGGGTTTTGCTATGTTGGTCAGGCTGGTCGTGAACTGCTGACCTCAGGTGATCCACCCATTGTGGCCTCCCAAACTGCTGGGATGACAGGCGTGAGCCACCACACCTGGCCTAAATTATATGGTATACATTCATCCACAAAGGTAGTAACCAGCAATGGAGTTTGGGACTCAGAACTAGGTGGGGATCCTAGCTACATCACTACTAGCTGCATGACTTTAGGAAGAGTTCTTCAGTCTGAGTGCACACTTCTTGACCTGTAACATGGAAAAACCTCTGCTTCACAGGACAGATGTGATAACTAAGCAAAACATTATAAAGTATCTACCATTGTGCATGGCATAGAAGGCACTTAAATTTAAGTGTTCTAATGACAGTTATAATACTCTAAGGTAATAAGTAGGACATACAGTTGAGATGAGAAGTATAAATTCAAAATCAAAAATAGGTATGTAGCTATGTGTGCTGGCTACCTCTTAAGCCCAAGCTTTTCAGTTCTTCACTAAAACAAGAATGAAGAGCTCAAAAAATGATTTTAACATGGGTATGTGCAACAAGGCCAGGACAAGAGTAAGGCAAGTGAGGCACTCCAGGCACAAAATTTAAGGAGGCACTCTGTTCTCAGGCTTGTGAGGTACAGAGCTGGCACCTGAGAATGAGTGTCTTCTTAAATTTTACACTCCAGGCACCTCTCTAGGCTAAGTCAAACAATATCAGAAAAGTTCTGCTACTGAGTTCTGACAAAACAGCAAAGAGTTTCTATTTGGAGAGCAGTTGGTCCAGTAATTCACTATCTAATGCTGACACCCTGCTCTAGGAAAATCTATAAATAGACAACAAAACATGAGGTATTCCTGAAACTGTTTCTCAAAAATCTACCAAGTAGCTCTGAACTTTCTCTAAAAGTCTCAAAGATATTTATGAAAATCTCCCCAAGTCACGTTTTGATTTGTTGTAGTAAAAACAGGTTAAAAATTAAGAACATTATACAGTTTACTATAGTATTATGATATATTAAATTCAAAGAGAGACTTGCTCATGTGTTGCCTGCTTAAATTTTATATAGCTAGGGGATGGGGAAAGAAAATAAGTAAAACAAGATTGGCATGTATTGATGACTAGTGAATCTAGTGGTGATAAATGAATTCATTTTATTTATTCATTTATTTGTCCTAATTTTGAATGTTTGAAGATTCCCATAATAAAAAAACACAAATACGTAAATAGCATACATATGCCACTTGATCTTACCAACTAGACGAAAACTAGCTCTCTCCTCTGCAATGTAAACTTTGAATAAATCGGACAAACTAAGCTTGTTTCAGAATCATTTTATTCCTCTCAGTTTATCTGGATAAACATCTCTAAGTGTGCTACTTGAGCATGCATGCGTGCGCACACATGCGCACACACACAAATGACTTTACTGCTAAATATCCCTTAGGCCTTATCCTTGACCATCTAACTGTGTAGGTTCTGCATTAAAAAATTTACAGGCCAGGCGCGGTGGCTCAAGCCTGTAATCCCAGCACTTTGGGAGGCCGAGACGGGCGGATCACGAGGTCAGGAGATCGAGACCATCCTGGCTAACACAGTGAAACCCCGTCTCTACTAAAAAATACAAAAAACTAGCCGGGCGAGGTGGCGGGCGCCTGTAGTCCCAGCTACTCGGGAGGCTGAGGCAGGAGAATGGCGTAAACCCGGGAGGCGGAGCTTGCAGTGAGCTGAGATCCGGCCACTGCACTCCAGCCTGGGCGACAGAGCGAGACTCCGTCTCCAAAAAAACAAAAACAAACAAACAAAAAAAATTTACATTAGCCTAGAGATGCTGCCTCAAACTGGAGTTGCCTGTAAGTTAGAATTCATTTTCCCTTTGAGCCATTCCATATTCTTAGCACCACTGAATATTTGGTAAGTTTCCATGGGGTACATGATATTCTGCCCACCTGGTTGATTGTTGCAGCACAAACACTTTTCATCTCATCTGTCCTCAGGTAGAGAATTATCGATAGTTGCTCAGAATAACAGTGAATCAAAAGCAATGCCAAAATCACAAGGTGCCAGCTAAACATTCTGTAAAGTAGATACTACTAACTTTAGAAAATATATTTTTTTAAATATTTTTGAGACAGGCTTTGTCACTCAGGCTATAATGCAGTGGTGCAATCATAGCTCACTACAGCCTTAAACTCCTGGGCTCAAGGGATTCTCTCACCTCAGCCTCCCAAGTAGCTGGAATTACAGGCAATGCGCCACCATATCCAACAAATTCTTTTGTTTTTTTTGAGACAGAGTCTCGCTCTGTCACCCAGGCTGGAGTGCAGTGGCGTGATCCTTGCTCACTGCAAGCTCCACCTCCCGAGTTCACGCCATTCTCCTGTCTCAACCTCTGGAGGAGCTGGAACTACAAGCGCTCGCCACCACGCCCGGCTAATTTTTTGTATTTTTAGTAGAGATGGGGTTTCACCATGTTAGTCAGGATGGTCTTGATCTCCTGACCTTGTGATCCACCCGCCTCAGGCTCCCAAAGTGCTGGGATTACAGGCCTGAGCCTCCGCACCCAGCCCCAACAAATTTTTAAAAAATTTTTTTGTAGAGACAGGGTCTCGCTTTGTTGCCCAGGCTGGTCTCAAACTCTTGGCTTCAAGTGATCCTTCTGCCTCAGCCTCCCAAAGATCATGCCACTGCACTCCAGCCTGGGCAACAGGGCAAGACTCTGTCTCAAAAAAAAAAAAAAAAAAAAATTAGCTGGATGTGGTGGCATGTGCCTGCAGTCCTAGCTACTCAGGAGGCTGAGGTGGAAGAAGTGCTTGAACCCAGGAGTTCAAAGTCACAGTGAGCTATGACTGCACCACTGCACTCCAGCTTGGCCACAGAGCAAGATCCTGTCTGTAAAAAAATAAATAAATAGATAAGCAATTTTAAAAAGGGAATATTCATAGGCTATCCACTGATTAACTCTTAGTGTTATGCACCTTTCAGTAAACACTGTAGTAGACCAAAAAGGTAGCACTTTAAAGAAAGTGGCTATCTTCCTCCATCTTCTTTGCAACAATATTTAATGATTCATCCAATATATTCAATTAGTACCCAATTCAAATGAGCTTTAGTTACTACTGGAGTCAAACATATCACTTGGGACCTGATCTCCTTCATTATACAAGCAAAGTTTAAAATGTCAATAAGGAAAAGAAAAGATTCAAAAACTTTAAGGTGTTAAGCTACATTCTGGCTGCTAAACATTTAGAACATAATCAAGTTGGCTAAAAATAATCTTGTCCTGAGGCTGAGGCAGGAGAATGGCATGAACCCGGGAGGCAGAGCTTGCAGTGAGCCGAGATCGCGCCACTGCACTCTAGCCTGAGTGACAGAGTGAGACCCTGTCTCAAATAATAATAATCTTGTACTAGAAATTCCCCTATAGAGAAATGCATCAAATAATTAGGTAACAAAGATCATTTTCATTCAGTTTCTAGTTCCACACCACCAGAAAATATCACAAATACTGATCTGAAGAAAATAATCTTAAATATATATAAAGTTAACACCAAACCTCCTAAAGAAAATGATGAAAGTTGGCCGGGCGCGGTGGCTCAAGCCTGTAATCCCAGCACTTTGGGAGGCCGAGATGGGCGGATCACGAGGTCAGGAGATCGAGACCATCCTGGCTAACACGGTGAAACCCCGTCTCTACTAAAAATACAAAAAACTAGCCGGCGAGGTGGCGGGCGCCTGTAGTCCAGCTACTCGGGAGGCTGAGACAGGAGAATGGCGTAAACCCGGGAGGCGGAGCTTGCAGTGAGCCGAGATCGCGCCACTGCACTCCAGCCTGGGTGACAGAGCCAGACTCCGTCTCAAAAAAAAAAAAAAAAAAAAAAGAAAATGATGAAAGTTTATGGGCAGATATGAGCCACAAAGATTTGCTTTAAGGTCCTTGCATTTTAGTACTTGGTTCTCACCTCAAAAACACCTAGGATCTGAAATATACAATCAGTGAGACACACAAAGTCATGTTTCCCATAGCTACCCCATAACCCAGTATTCCAGAGACAAGGTTCATATTAAACACGCTTTAACAAGGGACTCATTTTAAATATTGCCCTCTTTATAAAAGCAGAAGCTTATTACCATTGGATTTGAATCTGCTATGAGATCCCGTAGAGAATCCAGAAATCCCTGATCTTCCACCATTTGGGCATTGATATCATGGAGTTTTGCCACGCAGACTGCTGCTGTTTTCCGAACATAGGGATCCTCATCCTTCAAGCACTTGCGGAGTGGCTCACAGAGATACTCTGTAATTTTGTCTACCCGGATGCACCCCATGGTTCTGACTGCCAAGGCTCGAATCAAAGGATTAGGATCTTCACAGTCCTGCAGAAAACAATCACCAACAACTGTTAAGTATACATGGTGGCTAAAAGTAAACAGTCCAGTTTACATAAGCTGCAAAAGAATTACCTCATTAATTTAAGCTTCCACATACATTCTACACGAGCTCCAATCTTCCACACTATTCCTTTCCTAAGTACAAATCTTAGCTGCCCTATTTAAGAGTTTAGGTGAGGAAGTCATTTAACTGTTTTAAATACAAAATGAGAAACAGCTCAGTAGGATTCATTCCACTGCCAGGCAGAGGCTTAGGGAATTGGTACCATCCCACAGTCATTAGGATCTGCCCTAAAAACAGGAAAAGCTTTTGGGCTTGTATTCCGGCACAGAAAAAAAAGAAAGACCGTGCCCTATTCCACAGTGAGTTCCCAAGCATCAAATAGAGAGAAAAGTGAGCTAGATTTTTGGGGCCTGCAGCCAAGAAAACAAAGGGGAGCACAGGAGCCGGTCTGGGCTTGAAATAAGTACCTGGAGTTACGCAGCAGAGAGGGCCCTCTGAGTTCTTGACTGACATACATTCTCTTTTACTAGCAAGCGCTTCCAAATACAGTAAATAGAATATGGAGAAAGAACACTCTTTTAAACTGCCCTACATTAAAAAATGTCTTTAAGCCCATATAAATCCATGCACAACTCTAACTTCCAAAAAATGTAAACTAAATTATTCCCAATGATATATTCCACCTGTGAACCACCAATCACAGAGAACAAACTGTTATGTTCTAACTCTACAACGTAGCTAAACACAGGAAAAGAACAAAAAGTCCATGAGAAAGAAGAAGGCATATTGCATATTTTTCAAAACATTTTAAATAGAAGCTAATTTTAGAAATTCTGTCTGATTTTTTAAAATGTACACTAAGTTCCAAACAGAGAAAAAACAACTATTAAAAAAACATTAGGCTGGGGACAGAGGCTCACGCCTGTAATCCCAGCACTTTGAGAGGCCAAGGTGGGTGGATCACCTGAGGTCAGGAATTCAAGACCAGCCTGGCCAATACGGTGAAACCCCATCTCTACTAAAAATACAAAATTAGCCAGGTGTGGTGGCGCACGCCTGTAATCCCAGCTACTCGGGAGGATGAGGCAGGAGAATCACTTGAGCCTGGGAGGCAGAGGTTGCGGTGAGCTGAGATCGTGCCATTGCACTCCAGCCTGGGCAACAAGAATGAAATTCTGTCACAAAAAAAATAAAAATAAATAAAAATTAATGGGAACGATCCCATTATCATTTTCTTTAAATCTATGATAGGAAAGATTTGACTGGATATTCAATAATAAGAAAATGTTTTGTCCATTTTTAAAGACATGATGATATTGTGGTTATGTTTAAAAAGAAGATCTTATCTTGACAAATATAAGGACAAAACTATTTAATATATGATGCTTAGGATTTGCTTTAAAATTATCCAGCAGGAGAGAGGGTTGGAGGTCAGAAAATATGTATGAGGATTATAAACAAGAGTGGTTACGTGTCGGTAACTGTTAAAACTGCAAGATGAACATTTATGAATTTATTATACTAGTCCTTTTTCTTGAATATGTTTAAAATTTTCCATTAAAAAAAATAAATCAGGCCGGGAGTGGTGGCTCGTGTCTGTAACCCCCGCACTTTGCGAGGCCGAGGTGGGTGGATCACTTGAAGTTAAGAGTTCGAGATTAGCCTGACCAACGTGGTAAAACCCTGTCTCTACTAAAAATACAAAAATAAGCTGAGCATGGTGACGGTCACCTGTAATCCCAGCTACTTGGGAGACTGAGGCAGGAGAATCACTTGAACCTGGGAGGCAGAGGTTGCAGTGAGCCAACATCGTGCCACTGCACTCCAGCCTCGGTGACACAGTGAGACTCCGTATCAAAAGAAAAAAAAAAAATCAAATGGTGTAAGACCTATTAAATGAAACAAAAGTAGAAACTCCTACAGTCTCCACTACTGCTGACTCATAAGCATAATTTCTACAAAGATAAAACAGGTAAAGCCGCCAGTTACTGATACTACAATGATATGCCCAACCTTTGTCAGCCTCAGAAGGTAAAACAGTGAGGTTTCACCAGGTTTTCTTCTACCCATCTGTCAAGGATGCACCAAGTCCCGCTAACAGAAAGCTCAGCACATGGTTTGAATTTCCCTGGATGACACACACTGGTATACAGAATGCTAAAAACATGAACATTCCTAGTCATTGCCAACACTTCCCTACACTCCTTCCTTGTGAACAAAGGTTACTTATTTGCAATTCAGACTCTGTTCTTGAGGCCTTGGGAAAAGTTACCTTCACAAAGCTGTTCACGGCCATGATGGCCATGTCTGGCTGACTCTTGGCATAGTTCATCAAGTAGAGATACACAAGCTTCTTTAGTTCCAGATTGTCAGTCTGCATACAGTTCACTACGTCTGGAAAGAGAGAACTGAGAAGAGAGGGCAAAAGAGAAAAGGAAAGTAAGCAGGTGTTGGTGCCAACCTGTTGGACAGAATATGAATAGCCTTAACTAACAGAGTGATTGATGCAAGAACAAATGTCCCCACAGTGGTAACTGTCACAGAAATGAATTACTCAAGAAACTGGCTGGGCACGGGGGCTCACACTTATAATCTCAGCACTTTGGGAGGCCAAGGCAGGTGGATCACCTGAGGTCGGGAGTTTGAGACCAGCCTGACCAACATGGAGAAACCCCATCTCTACTAAAAATATAAAAAATTAGCCAGGCATGATGCTGCATGCCTGTAATCCCAGCTACTCAGGAAGCTGAGACAGGAGAATTGCTTGAACCTGGGAGGCAGAGGTTGTAGTGACCTGAGATTGCGCCATTGCACGCCATCCTGGGCAACAAGAGCGAGACTCCTGCATCTCAAAAAAAAAAAAAAAAAAAAACAGAAAAGAAAAGAAAAGAAACTATAGGCCAGGCATGGTGGCTCACGTCTGTAATCTCAGCACTTTGGGAGGCTGTAAGGATCACTTGAGACCAGGTGTTCAAGGCCAGCCTGGACAACATGGCGAGATCCTGTCTCCACAAATTTTTTTTTTAAAAATCTGGGTATGGTGGTGCACACCTGCAGTCTTAGCTACTCAGGAGGCTGAAGCAGGTAGATCACTTGAGCCCAGAAGGTCGAGACGGCAGTGCGCCATGATCACATAACTGCACTCCAGCCTGGATGACAGAGTGAGACCTTGTCCCTAGCCAAAAAAAAATATGAAAAAAATTGTAGTGCTGTTCTCAACAAGGTCTCTATATAGTTTTAGAATAAGTTTTTTATTATGAAAAATGTTAATCTCAGTGCTGGGATTACATGCATAAGCCACTGTGCCCAGCTTCATCTATAATATTTTAATGTATATCTTAAGAATCCTTTTTTTTTTCTTTTTGAGACAGAGTCTCACTCTGTCACATAGGCTGGAGTACAGTGGCACGATCTTTGCTTGCTTCAACCTCCGCCTCCCAGGTTCAAGCAATTCTAATGCATCAGCCTCCTGAGTAGCTGAGATTACAGGTGTGCGCCACCACGCCCAGCTAATTTTTATATTTTTAGTAGAGAGCAGTTTTCACCACGTTAGCCAGGCTAGTCCCAAACTCCTGACCTCAGGTGATCCATCCACCTCGGCCTCCCAAAGTGTTGTGATTACAGATGTGAGCCACCATGCCCAGCCAAGTGTCTTTTTTTTTTTTTTTTCCACTACCTTTATCACATCCAAAACAAAAACAAAAACAAAAACAAAAACAAAAACAAAAAAGCCAGGCCCAGTGGCTCACATCTTTAATCCAAGCACTTTGGGAGGCCGTGGTGGTAGGACTGCTTGAGCCTAGGAGTGTGAGATCAGCCTGGGCAACACAGTGAGACCTTGTCTGTATAAATAATTTTAAAAATTAGCCAGGCATGGTGGTGTGCGCCTGTGGTCCCAGCTACTCAGGAAGCTGAGGTGGGAGGATCACTTGAGCCTGGGATGCAGAGGCTGCAGTGAGCCATGATCATGCCACTGCACTCCAGCCTGAGGAACAGAGCAAGACCCCATCTCAAAAAATAAATAAATAAATAAATAATAACAATAATTATTTTAAAATATTTATTTTATGTACAAAAAGGTAACATGGTTTCTCTCATTGGGTGGGTGCCTTAGATAATCCATTTATGGAAGATCACTTAGTCCAACTTAATGAAATCTATATCCTTCACGTACTGATGGAAACACTGGTGGCATATAACGAGGCTGAATTTCCAGATCAGACTGTGCCCAGTTTCAGCAGACACGACAACAGCAAGAACCCTGGCTGACTTTTCGTGGGTGGCTCTAATAGAGCTGCTGATGAATCATCTTGCTTTCAGGAGTGCAAGAGGGCAAAAGGAATAATAATTCTTCATATCAATCTAGTACTGTTTCAAAGTACTTCAGTTACACTTTTTAATGTTCATATTCTTCCATTCTTGACCAGTGGGAACTTAGCTCCTGAATCCTTGTGGTATGACCTGGTATTTTCCATACTTTCCTTTATGACAAGATGCTCCATCCAGGCTCATTTTGTACATTTCTAATCCCAGACCTAGAATCAGTCATCCTCCAAGATGTCCTGATTCTCTTTTAGTGAAATTATTTTTTTTAACATTACATATTCAGACAAAAGAATATTTGAGAGTAATCAAATATAAAAGGAGTTTACACCTTTCCCAAGTTCTAGTTATTTCATGATTTACCATTCTCCTATAAGCCACAGGAAATAAATTTAAAGGAGCACCATTAGCTTGGAAGGGTTGAGCTTGTCAGATTCTAAAGTATAAGCTGTATCTTTAAAATATAGGATAAATATAACTTTACGGGAAGTTAGCAATTAATCTTCCCCACAATGCTTTATCAAAGTACCTTATAATTTTTTGATACTGCTAAACATCTTGCTACTAGCACAGAAGAAAGGAAAAACAAATGTAGGTATATTTCCACAAGGAAAGTAAGGGGAAAAAAGGGAATGGAATAGCTGGTCACATGGTATACATCCTATACACACAAAAGGGTACAGAAGTAGAAATTATTCACAGAAAGGAAGCTGGACTCAGGTCAAAGAATCCACCATATCTCCACTGAACCAGTAACTTCTGTCCTAAAAAGCAAACTATTTGTTTCACTTGTATGCATGGTACCCACCGTAGTTTCATGCACATGTAGATAATTTAGTAAATACTAAGAACCACTCTCCAAAAATGTGTTTTCTATTTCCTAGACTAGCTCATGCACAAAACAACCATAATCAGTAAATAAATGTGAAACATTAACCAATAACAAATTTAAGATCCTAAATAGTTTAATTCTAGCAATCTATACAAGGTCAAGAAGACTTAATAGCCAAAGATCAAGCAAGAAGCAAAACGTGTTAAGTGCCAACCTGTAAACTGGAAACCTGAACTTTCCAATATGGTGACCACTAGTCACATGAGGCTACTAAACACAATGTGGCGAGTGTGAACTGAGATGTGATGTCAATGTAAAACACACATTGGATTTTGAACACTTAGTATGAAAAACAAAATGTAAAATATCTCATTAATAATTTTTATGTTGATTACATGCTGAAAGGATATTTTAGATATACTAGGTCAAATAAAATGTATTACTAAAATTAATTCATCTGTTTCTTTTCACTTTTTCAAAATGGCTATTAGAAAATTTAAAATTACATATGTGGTTCACACTGTATTTCTGCTGGACAGTGCTGCACCTGAGGTTACTTGCAGGGAAGGCTGAAATATCACGATCTACAAATAGCTAATCTCCATTTTATTTCTTTGCACTATCTTTCTAGGCACAGCTCATATTTCATCTCCAAGAAGCGTTCTTCAACTATTCCTGTTAACCTGGATCTCTCTTTGGTAGAACTCATATTGCCTTTAAAATATATACTTTGGTGCCTAATTATATAAATACGTTTTATTTTTCCCTAATTTTTTAAGTTTTGGGTCTCATCAACTAGACAGTAAGTGTCATGAAGGCAAACAGACATCCACTAACCTTTCTTTTGAATAATGATAAGTGGTATAGTGCTAGGTACATAATAAAATCATCAGCAATAGCAGGCATACAAAAAAAAAAAATCAAGAGTTTTAACTTTTCTGCAGGATACAGAAATAAGCTTGGCAAAACCACAGCAGCCCCTGTACAGAGTTATGACAATTTTTCAGGAGTTTGAGACCAGCCTGACTAACATGGAGAAACCCCATCTCTACTAAAAATACAAAATTAGCCAGGCGTGGTAGTGCATGCCTGTAATCTCAGCTACTCGGGAGGCAGAGGCAAGATAATGGCTTGAACCTGGGAGGCAGAGGTTGCAGTGAGCCAAGATCACGCCATTGTACTGCAGCCTGGGCAACAAGAATGAAACTCCATCCCCCCGCAAAAAAAAGAGTTATGACAATTTTCACCATTTGTTTGTACTGATGCTTTCAATCCAGATTTATTCTTTGGCAAAAACAGCCCTTCAGTGACTAGACAGATCACGGATAGGCAACTACCACCTGTGGGCTAAATCTAGCCCAGTGCTGGATTTTTGTACAATCCGTGAGCTAAAAGTGGTTTTTATAGATGAACTAAGTGTTCATCTATATGAATCTTGGCCGGGTATGGTGGCTCATGCCTGTAATCCTAACACTTTGGGTGGCCAAGGCAGGTGGATCACTTGGCGTCAGCCAGGAGTGATGGTAGGCACCTATACAGTACCAGCTACTCAGGAGGCTGAGGCAGGAGAATCCCTTGAACCCAGGAGGAAAGGCTGCAGTGGGCCGAGATTGCGCCGCTGCACTCCAGCCTGAGCGATGGAGCAAGACTCCATCTCAAAACAATAAATAAATAAAACAAATCCGATGATGAAAAATACTATGAATCCTAATTAAGCAAAATGTTATCATCCCCCAAAAAGAATCCCACTTAATAGTAGACCTGTGGTACAAAACATTATACTTAACTATTATTTTACTTTGAATATCCTCAATAAAAAATTTGTGGAAATTTATCATCTCTCTTGTTACGTAAGTACCTACCTAACAAACTCAATTTTGCTTCTTCGCCTGCTAAGCAAAGAGTACTTTCTATGCCAGCCTGATGTACTTACTATTTTGTCCTTTACAAAAAAGTCTGCCAACTCCTTAGATAGATGGTCACAGGACAGCAATTTAAAAACCAAATGTGCTTTATGTGCTAACAAACAAAAGAAAAATAGCAAAAATTCACCTCAGAAGAGCAGCACCTGGATCAAGAGAAGATACAGAGTCATTTCCTAGGCTGCCATTTCTATCTGGGCTCCCTGTCTGGCTAGGGAAGCAGCCCTTACCTTTTCGGTCTCAGGATCCCCTTATACTCTTAAAAATTCTTGAGATCCCAAAGAGTTTTTGTTCGTGTGAGTTATATACCTATTGATATTTTACCATGTCAGGAATTAAAACTGAGAAATTTTTAAAAAATTAATCCATTAAAATAAGAATAAACCCATTTCATAACATTTTCAAGGTAAAATGTACTGTTTTTAAATTAATGAGATGGTAACACTGCTTTTTTTTTTGCAACTCTCTTTAATATCTACTTTAAACAAAAATGGCTTTCTCATATGTTCCTGCATTCAACCTTTTGTAGAATGTTGTTTTGAAATATAAGAAAATCCAACTTCATACATGTATAAAACTTGGAAAAGGAAATAATATTTTAATAGCTTTTTCATATAACTAGATATTCCTTACTTTCTCTTTTTTTTTTTTGTTATAACTAGAAATTCTTGATGTTACACTGAAGCTAGACAAGCCGGGCACAGCGGCTCACACCTGTAATCCCAGCACTTTTGTGAGGCCAAAGCAGGTAGATCATGTGAGGTCAGGAGTTCGAGACCAGCCTGGCCAACATGGTGAAACCCTGTCTCTACTAAAAACACAAAAATAAAGCCAGGTGGCAGTGGTGCACGCCTGTAATCCCAGCTACTGGGGAGGCTGAGGCAGGAGAATCACTTGAGCCTGGGAGGCAAAGGTTGCAGTGAGCCAAGATCACGTCACTGCACTCCAGTCTGGGTGACAGAGTAACACCCTGTCTCATAAATAAATAAATAAATAAAACTAGACAAATGGTGGTTTTCCTCTTTCTGAGTCCACACACTGTAGTTTCTTAAAAGTTAGTTGCAATATAGAATCTGAAACCATATCAATAAATTTTTTGTACTTGATTGTATTAAAATCCATTCATTTACATTCTATTTTGTTTTTTTGTTTTTTTCGAAACAGAGTCTTACTCTGCTGCCCAGGCTGGAGTGCAGTGGCGCAGTCCCGGCTCACTGCAACCTCCACCTCCTGTGTTCAAGCGATTCTACTGCCTCAGCCTCTAGAGTAGCTGGGATTACAGGCACGTGCCACCATGCCCGGCTTTTCTGTATTTTTTTAGTACAGACAGAATTTCATCATGTTGGCCAGTCTGGTCTCGAATTCCTGACCTCAAGTGATCCACCTGCCTTGGCCTCCCAAAGTAATGGGATTACAACCGTGAGCCACCGCGCCTGGCCTACACTGTATTTTGAATAGATCTTTTATCTGTGCATGATTTTGTGATATACATAGGCTCTGGTCATTTGGAAAAATATTGGTTCACTGAGCTATGCTGACACATTTCATTATAAAACAGCAAATAATCACAATCATTAATTTCACCACCAATCTCCTCAGAAAAGTCTTTAAGCATTAGGAAGCTGTCAAGCTTATGATGGGAGATACAGGTTTTCCAAAATTCTAATTTTTACTTTAAAACCTGAAATGTATCTATTGTCAATTTTTTTCCCTTGAAGTAACAGGTTCACTTTGTTCATTTTTGATAAAATATCTTCCAAATACCAAAGTCTGATTAAATATAGTTTGTCTCTCAATCATTCTTTCACATAAAAATGGTGTTTGCAATTCAAACAACCCCACAAGGGCTTTTTTTCAAGTCGACCATCACACTGCTATGCAGCAGAAGAGCTTTATGGGTAATTCCTATTTCATCAGAGTATTAAAAAGGTTCAAGTTTTAATAAAACAAATTTTTACTGCTCATGAAGGACATTCCTAAGTGAAACTGCTCTTTTTTAGCACACGGTGGTAAGGAATACGATGACTACCATTATGGTTGGTACCACTGCCTTGATTCATGCTGAGGCACCAGCAGTTTTACCCACCACTGCTTTGCACCATCACTGTAAACATCAAAATAGTGAAAAAGGCAAGTAACATCTAAGAATTATTATGAAAACACCTTTGACCTCATGGACCCCCTGAAAGGGTCCTAGGATAATCCTCAGGGGCCTGCATATAATCCTTACTTATTTCCAAATGGTCTTAATTACAGAAATAAGAAATAAGACTACATGGATTTGGTTAACATTGATTTTCATCTTGAATTCAGCAATTGAATGTACAGTTGTAAAGCTGAGGGCAGTGGCTTGAGCCAATTAAAGATCATGTGAACTTATGCTTCTCAGTATATTTTTATCATCTTCTAAAACTATCTCAGCCAAAACATTTGCAACTGTGCCAGCTCTCAGGAGGTGTTATGCTAGATGTGAATGCAAAAAAATCAAACTTGTTTCACTGTTCTAACACAAATACACACACACACCCCAAAACAAAAAAAAAACCCACTTAAGTAGAGCATTAATACAAAAGCGACTGTACTTCCTGATGATGTTTTTAGTAGGACAAACCCATTCTTAGAGGTTCCATGACTATGATAGTTTTAAAGGAAAAGTAGTAAAGGCCATAAGATGGGGTATGGACCTCTAAAGTGATAAATAGTGATGACTCTTACCTAACATCCTTCCCCACAGTCATAGCAGCAATCACTTTCTTCACAGCCTCCTTTCTCTTTTCTTTTTTTTCATTGTTGAGCTCAGCTTTTAGTTCAAATATTTCTCCTGCAAGAGATGAGAACAAACTGGTGAGGTCCCAGGACCACAGATTTAGAGCAGAATACTGCACTATATAATAACCAATACCAGGATAGCAGAGCAGCAACTGAAATAAGATTTTAAAATTATAGAATACGTAAAATTCAAAGCCCTAGACTATTACCTGACTCACTGATAAGGAAGTCATCAGTAAGTTTTAAAAACCTTTTAAATTATGCCCAGAGAGGAAGGTGCAATCCAGATCTTTAAGAACCACAGGAGTGGGAAAAAGTAAATCTCATTATATCTAGCTACAGTGGGGAGATAACAGTATATGAAGGATGATCTTACATCAGAATGTTAAAGTCTGGAGAAGAACATAAATGTAGGTAGGGAGCAGGCATGTATTATCTCATTTACCCACGCTCGGTTTTACAGATTAAGAAATGAGGCTCAAAGTTCACAGAGTGAGTGACAAACTTGGGCTAGCACTGTGTCTCCTGACTCTTGAATTCAAAGCTTCTCAACCCTGGCCACACACTCTTATTACCTAAGAAATACTAAATATAACAAAGTACAGGCTCCACTCTGGGCCAAATAAATCATAATGTCAAGGAGAACTCATATTTATACCTTTAAGAACTCCACCAAGTGACTCTAATGCACACCCAATGTTGAGAATCACTATTTTAATCAGTACTTGAATAAATTAGTGGGCTTTAAGGCCCTTCCTATTCAATCAAACAAGAATAATCTTGAAACCAAGAATGGTATACAATGGAGTCAATTCCAAACGTGCAATCTTGAATGACTGCTTAGGCTCCGCACTGTAAAATGTCAGGGACTGTAACCACTATTTTAAGGCCTGGTCTCCAGGCTCACCTATCTTCAAGATGCTGGACCCAAAATAAAAAAGAAAGTAACAACCCTAATATTGTTTAAAAGAAATGGAAAAAAACCACTAAGCCCATGAAAAAGAGGTTGACTACTCACACCTCAACTTTCCATCTACATCCTCCAGCTCATCTACCATGCCTCAAAGACTTTCCTCCACCTTCAAGACTGTTCCTGTCGTTCCTTTCCACCAGATCTCATTCACCAGCACAGAAACAGTGGGGACAGTCTCCGCTTTCGGAGGTTGCTACTGCCACCTCAGTGGCCCCGGAACCGGGGGCGCCCAGGGGTCCTTCGCCCTCGGCCATGGCCCCCGCAACGGGGCTTCGCTGCCACCAGTGTCTGAGCTGGACTGTGCGGGCGCCAGGCTCCTCCGAAAGGCGCACGAGACAGCCTTCTTCCTCTGGTTCCGCAATGGCCTCCTGGCATCGGGCATCGGGCATCGGGGTTATCTCCTTCATGCAGAGTGACATGGATGGCGAAGCAGCATATGGCTTCTTCCTGCTGGGCCGCCTGTGTGTGGTGTGGGGGCAGCGTCTCACACGCGGTGGGCCTGGCGGCGCTGCGGGGACCCATGCAGCTGACGCTAGGGGGCGCAGCTGCAGGCGCCGTGTTCGCCGCCAGCCTGCTCTAGGTGTGCGCCGTGGGCTTCTATATGCGGTAGCTGGAGCTGGACGTGGAGCTGGTGCCCGAGGACGACGGGGCGGTCTCCGCGAAAGGCCCTGATGAGGCGGGCCGACTGCCACCAGAGTGAGCGACATGGCCGCGGGCCCTGGCAGGCTCTGGATGACGGCGCCTGAGGACTGCGACATTAAAACCTGACCTCCCCTCCTCCACAAAAAAAAAAAAAAAAAAAAAAGAAAAGAAATAGTGGGGACAGAACACTACGTGATTTGCCGGAAACCCTTATGTGGAAAGGAAGAAATTAGTAAGACACATAAGTAGAACACTCTTTCGTTTCAATATTCATGGCCAATAAGGCAAAAAAAATTGTTCCAAAATTTCTATTTAATCAACTGCTACAAAAGTAGCATAGCAAGAAAAGCTGGGCCCTTTAAAGAGTCATTCTTCATAGGACCCTTCACCACGTCCCATCCTGCCAAATCCAGCTCTTCGTTCCTCTCATTCACTTCCGGGAACAGTAAAGGACAAAGGACAGGGTTTCAGAAAGTCTGAATTGTGAACAGCAGCAGGTGTTGTAGAATCAAAGCAGGATGTAACAGAAATTATTCCAATTCCAAAAGCATAAATTTAAAGAATATGTTTCAGTGGCAGTTCTGGTGGGTGTTGCAGGAAGCACAGGGAACACAATCTATCAATTTTTTTTTAAGTATGATGTTTATCAGCAGTGATTCAATCTGCAGTCTCAAACTTTTACAAATGCCTGAATTAAAAAAAGGTCACCAGGACCCTTTTCAAGAGTAGGTTTGAAGACTTAGGAGAGTTTTAAAATTGTAACTATTTAATTGTAATTATATCCCTTTATAGAATTATAGACATTTGGTTCATCAAAGCATACAAAATGCTAACAGAAGAAATAAACATATTTCCAAAAGAAAATCAGAAAAAGCTGAGAATGAATGACAAGTGGCTAATGGTTTTTGTGAGGTATAAGTAATAAAAATAAGGAGGAAAAAGTTGGGCAGGACCAAAGACGGGTACTAAAAGAGGGAAAGTCATATATTCTACAACTTTATTAAATTCCTATCTTTTCTCCCTCCTCCTCCCCCCAATCAAACCTACCAAGCACTGTTAGCAGCTAGCAGTAGTTCTCAATCATGGCTACACATTAAAACAATCTGAGGAGCTTTCTTTTTAATTTTTGTTTTCTTTTGAGACAGGGTCTCTCTCTGTTGCCCAGGCCAGGGTACAGTGGCACAGTCACAGTTCACTGCAGCCTCAACCTCCTGAGCTCAAATGATCCTCCCATCTCGGCCTCCCAAAGAGCTGGGACTACAGGTGTGCACCACCATACAGGGCTAATTTTTTAATTTTTTTCATAGAGATAGGGTCTTACCATGTTGCCCAGGCTGGTCTCAAACTCCTGCACTCAAACAATCCTCCTGTCTTGGCCTCCCAACATACTGGGATTACAGGCATAAGCCACCATGCCTGGCCACGTGAAGAAGCTTTAAAATCCCCACACCCAGACCATATCCAGGAGAAATGAAATCAGGCTGAGGTTGAGACCCAGGCATCAATATTATTTCAAAGTTCCCTGCCTGAGCAATTCTAATGTGTTGCCAAGATTGAAAGCTATAGACAACAAGCTGATGTAATTAAGCAACTCACTGCAACAAGAGAAAAAGAAGAATGGTAGTTGGTGTCATGTCTGGAATACTTTGGTAAATATAAGGACTCCTGAATACAAAAGCACAGAATTCTGATCCTAAGCAACAAATAAAGCAAGCTAAGCTACAGGCACAATAAGCTGAGATGGGCTAAAATGTTTGTCTTTGATGGGAAGACCCTCCACATTTCTAGAAATGATCTATTTTATTTAGGAACAATTTTACAAAAGATGAAAGGTTGGACTTTCCCCAGAAGAATCCTTTGTTCCTAGACCCAAACACATACATAAAAACAAGCATTATATTACTGATAACAAAGATGATGAGACTAATAAGTTCAAAGCCCCTCAAGTAATTCAGTCTATGACCTAAAAATCATAGATGGCTCTAGAGATTTCCTGTTTTAAATACACATCTAGACGAAGAACAAGGTAGATGTATATGGACGGATATGAAAATAACCCACTTCTATTTATTGTTTTGCAAGATTGCTTTTTCATTAAAGATAAAAAATTTTTAAATCATATGTATTAATATATACACTTACAAGCATGGAAAAAGACTTGAGGATATATACCAAGTTCCCTTGGGAACGGGAACAGGAAGGGAGAACTTTCATTTTTACCTTTTACATACATGTCTGTATTGCTTTAATTGTATTCTTTGTTATAAAATGTTTATTTCCAAGTAAAAATTATTTAATAAAAGAGAAAAAGTATGCTGCTTCTTTTGTCCTCCTCACACTTAACCAATCTTCAATGGATCATTATTGATCTCAAACAGAAAAGAGGAGTCTCTTTCACTAAACAGAACCTTCAAGTCAAAATAATGTGCATCACAGCCCTATCTTTTAAAATCTACTCTTTAATAACTTGCTTGAATACATTTATCTATAGAAGTAGTAGATGTCCAATGAGATTGTCAACATGTAGTATGTCTGAAGGAAGAGGTCAGGAACATTCTGCTTGGGGCAGTCTTACATTACAACTTTTGAAAATTTTCAAAGATTTGATTGTATTCTCATACTTACCTTTTTTATTGGTTGTGAAATACTTGGAGTCAGTCATGACTTTGGATCTTTAATGTGCACCTATAGCAAGAGAAAAGGATTCCTTCATTCAGGTTACAGATATCCAACAAGACATCCAATTAATTTTACAAACATCCAATTAATTTTAGGAACACTTATATTTAAGAATTTCTAAAAATGAGTATCATCTTCCTTTATCACCACCGTTGATGGTTCAAGGGATGCAGAGAAAACTAAGAATGTAACTCCTCAAGTTGCTAATAGGGGCAAAAATCTAAAGGCCAAATGTAATCGGGTAAAAATATGAACCTATTATGGCTTTATGATTTTATCCACAGTAAATCCTCAAAGCTTTCAAGAGCTAAAGCTGGACCTTTTTATAAATATATCTGCAATTACTTTCCATTCAGGAAAATCTGGTAAATTCCTTGCCTCAAGCTGGAATCACTCCAAAGCATATATTCTGAAGCAGTGTAAGGTCAAAAGAAAAAACAGGCCGGGCGCGGTGGCTCAAGCCCAAAGTAATCCCAGCACTTTGGGAGGCCGAGACGGGCGGATCACAAGGTCAGGAGATCGAGACCATCCTGGCGAACCTGGTGAAACCCCGTCTCTACTAAACAATACAAAAAAAAAAACTAGCCGGGCGAGGTGGCGGGCGCCTGTAGTCCCAGCTACTCGGGAGGCTGAGGCAGGAGAATGGCGTGAACCCGGGAGGCGGAGCTTGCAGTGAGCTGAGATCTGGCCACTGCACTCCAGCCTGGGTGACAGAGCAAGACCCCGTCTCAAAAAAAAAAAAAAGAAAGAAAAAACAATTTTGCTGACCTACTACATGAAACTTTCAATAAAAAGAATCTCTTTCCGAAAAAAAAAATTCAAAATTAGTAGGACAATATTCTTTCACAACAAACATCTAGAGAGGCAACCATGACCTACACATGGAATTTTTTTTTTTAAGTTTTAGTTTTGTAGGTATGTAGTAGGTGCATATATTTGTGGGGTACATGAGATATTTTGGTAACAGACAGACAATGCATAATAATTACATTAGGGTAAATAGGGTATCCAATACCTCAAGCATTTATCCTTTCTTTGTATTATAAACAATTCAAGTATACCTTCTTAGTTATTTTTAAATGTACAGTAAATTATTGTTGACTGTAGTCACCCTTATCTGCTATCAAATACTAGATCTTATTCATTGTACCTAACTATATTTTTGGATTTAAACAAAAAAATGTGGCTTTCTTACTTCCAACAATCTAGATTTAGTCCAAGAGTATTCTCAAATAATGTCAGTTTATAGTTACAAACAAGGCAAAAGACTAAGATATCTGTTCAGACACGAGACTGAAACTGGTGTTGAAACAAAAGAACGTGGATCTCAACCTCAACCTTAACTCTTCCATTCCAATTTCCAGAAGAAATAATCCAGATGACAAATGGCCCCAACTAACAAAACCGGCAGTCTGGCCACATTTTTACTAAATAATAAGACCACGTTTTCTGATTTGAGAAACTATAAGACTTTGTCCAATGTACCTGACTTCTTTAAATACATTAAAATTTGGGGCTGGGCACAGTAGCTCAGGCCTGTAATCCCAGCACTTTGGGAGGCCGAGGCGGGCGGATCACTTGAGGTCAGGAGTTCAAGACCAGCCTGGCCAACATGGTGAAACCCTGTCTCTGCTAAAAATACAAAAATTAGTCGGGTGTGGTGGCACACAGCTGTAATCCCAGCTACTTGGGAGGCTAAGACAGGAGAATCGCTTGGACCTGGGAGACGGAGGTTGCAGTGAGCAGAGATCATGCCACTGCACTCCAGCCTGGGCAACAGAGCAAAACTCCATCTCAAATAAATAAACAAATAGAAATTTAGGCCAGGTGCAGTGGCTCATGCTATAATCCCAACACTTTGGGAAGCCAAGATAGGTGAATTGCTTGGGCACACGAGTTTGCAACCAAGCTGGGCAACATGATAAAACCCCATCTCTACTAAAAATACAAGAATTAGTCAGGCATGGTGGCATGTACCTGTTAGTCCCAGCTACTTGGGAGGCTGAGGCGGGTGGATCACTTGAGCCTAGGAGGTCAAGGCTACGGGGAGCTATGATCTCACCACTGCACTCCAGCCTCCATGATAGAGTGAGACCCTGTCTCAAGGGGAAAAAATATATAAATATATATATATTTTAATAATATTCCTTCTATACTCAAAAATGAATATATTTTTCCTTATCACCATCACTAATAATACTTATTACCAACTTCAGGACAAGACATGCTGGCACCTGCTCATTATTATCAGGTCAATATGACATAATATATTTGGCAAACAATAGTAAATATGTATCTAGGAGAAAAGACCTAAGCAGCAAACAAATCAATGTAATTAAAGGAAAGAAAAAAGAGCCAGATAAACATAAAATAATGAAAAACTTCTGGTTCAAATCTGATCTCAAAAATGTGCTACTTGTACAGTTTAATGGAAATTAGACTCATCTGCTATCTTTCCAACCAGCTAATTACTATTTATAGTCTTGATCCCAATAGCTCTTTAGATTGTACCAGAAATTCACAGAATGATCTTGTTAAAAGAAGTGAGCTAGGACTCACAAATATCATTACAGAATATAGAAATTTCTCCTTTAATACTTGTTATAATTAAAAATTATACTGAGGCTTGCCTTATGCAATGTTTTTACAATGCCTTTCTAGCAAAAATTCAAAGAATGTTATAATCATTTAATCCATTCATAATGTAAACTAAATGTGAAGTGGGCAAATGAAGAAAGGAATTTTTCACATAAAAGACCTGGAATAAATCTGAAGTTATCTATGAATTTATATATACAAACAGAAAAACCAATAAACAGAAATGATTACTTGAGCCTCAAAGAAGGACTATAGCTCAAATCCATTACAATCTGTCTAGGATGTTTACTATGCTATGCTATGTCCTTTAAAACTTGTTTAAGATTTTAAAACAAAACCTCCTTAGAATTCGTCACCCAATTTCTTTGAAAAGGGTCTTATACACACACGCATTAAATTTTTTTTGGCCAGGCGCGATGGCTCATGCCTGTAATCCCAAAACTTTGGGAGGACGAGGTGTGCAGATAGTTTGAGCTCAGGAGTTCGAGACCAGCCCGGGGAACATGGCGAAACCCCATCTCTAATAAAAATACAAAAATTAGCCGGGCATGGTGGCACATGCCTGTAGTCCCAGCTGGGACTCACTGCAACATCCGCCTTCTGGGCTCAAGTGATCCTCCCACCTCAGCCTCCCGAGTAGCTGAGACTTTATGTTGGGATCACCGTGCCCAACCCATTAAAATCTTTTTTTTTTTTTTGTGAGACAAAGTCTCACTGTGGCCCAGGCTCCAGTGCAGTGGTTCGATCTCAGCCTCCAGTGAAGTGGTTCGATCTGGGCTCACTGCAACCTCTGCCTCCCAGGTTCAAGCGATTCTTCTGCCTCAGCCTTCAGAGTAGCGGGGACTACAGGCACCCACTACCATGCCCGGCTAATTTTTGTATTTTAGTAGAGAGGGGGTTTTCCTTGTTAGCCAGGCTCGTCTGGAACTCCTGACATCAAGTGATCCATCAACCTCGGCCTCCCAAAGTGCTCGGATTACAGGCATGAGTAAATTCTTTACAGGAATTTTCACTACATTCTATTAAACAATAAATTAACCTAAGTCTTAAGTCATGCCTTTAACAGCTCACATATTTCATTATCTGTAACAATTTCAATGTCAAGGAATATATTACTGTCCTGTTCACTGTGAGCATTAAGTGTTTTCATCTTAACTAGAAAATAATGCACCCACCCACAAAATTTCAGGGAAGAGAGGAGGGTCAAGTATCTTTAGAAGCCCATAACATAGATTCTAAATTAAGAGTCCCTGCTGCTCTAAAGAGAAGGGATATCACTGTAGTAAGCAACACTATTGTAAACAATATTCCCTATCCATATTGGCAGAGAAACATGGTGCCAAGCTGGTTCTTGCCTTAAGCCAAAAGAAACTCCAAGAAAAATGAAAATAGTCTAAATAAAAACAAATAGAAGACATGATTGTTGCACAACACTGTCAGTGTACTAAATTCCACTGAACTGTATGCCTTAAGCTGGTTCATTTTATGGTACGTGAATTTCACCTCAAAAAAAAAATCACATATATATGATTAAGTGTATCTCTCATATAGTGAGTTCTTACCTCATATAATGAGAGACACATTTAATCACATGCTAGATATGGACATAGCCAGAGTCTCCAAAATACAGGATGGCAAAAACTGACATCTTCATTAGAAGTAACAGAAAAAGTAAACAAAATAGAGCTCAAGAAAAAAAAAAACAAAAAAACTCAAATATTTGCTGAAGTGCCTCAAAAATCAAGCTGCTCCTTTGGGGGAGAAAATGTTCCTTCAGAAGAGCCAGAGAAATAAGCAAAGCCATGACGGAATTTGAACTCACACTACCTTTCTACCAGATCAAACCAGACAAGTCACGGCTGTTCTGAGGATTTATGATATGGCCTAAGGCCATTGTTAAACAACAAAGCTGCCAGAGTCAAAGCACATAATCACTCTTACTTGCCCTGACCAGAGTGTGATGTCACTGCATTTCGGAGTAGGCCTCCCTGCACAGGATTACATATCCAGATTTAACATAACCTAGTTTCTATGAAATATAGGTTGTCAAAGTCCCTCCTCTCCTATACCTCCCTCCAGTTCCCTAAAAGAGAAATTGAGCAGCAAAATAAGATTAATACCTTGGGTAGAATAAGGTCAAAAAAAATTAATAGGATCTTAATTCAAATGGCTCTCTGGGAAGCCAAATTAGTTCGTAAAGTCCCTAAACCCTTCTTTTCACAAAGTTGGACTTTACAAAGCTCAGTGCTCACAGTAAAAAACAGAACAAAGTTAACCAAATTATAAAGCAGAAATGTCATTCCAGTAATCTTTTATTGTAAGGGTGAGAGGTGCCAAATTCATTTCTAATCAAATATTCAGTAATAATGCAAAGACAATAGCATCATCAGGTATTATTTTTCTCATAAGAAATTATGACACAAAAGCTAAAATCACCTGTGATTTCTACTTAGACTACAAAGTAGCTTCTTAATATTATATAGAAGCAAAGGAGTTCAAAAGTTTTACATCTAATTCTTAACCAAAATAACATTAAACTCTGGAAAACTTAAGCCTGGAAGGAAAGAAAGGACAAGAGAAAGGAGAAGGTGCCCTATTTAATATATTCCTTGCTCAGCTTGGTTCAAACCTGTGCCTAAAAAGTTAGTACTTCAAAATATGGATCTTTTAAGTACGGAAAGAATGAAAGAACTGGACTTGAGTTTCTTCATATACAGTCAGAATATTAGATTTATATTGATTTTACCACCCAGCTTTTAGTGAGGATGCTTGCATTATACATCACCCTTTCTGCTTCCTTGAAAGTTTCAACGGTTAAGATACCTGCAAACAGTTCTCACCTTACCAGCACGCTTAGTCATCACTGGAATGTGTTACACGTTTTCTTATAGAGCTGCACCTCCTTCATCTGCTACTTTCTATTATTACTTTGTAAGTGTACCCTGAGGCTAAGCAATTCAAGTATACAAGGAAGGTAATTAATAATTTAAATTGATTCTCATTGAGACCACCTTCTTTCTTAGTCATTCTGCCTTCGTAAGTTTAATGCATTTTCTTTTAAACCACAATGGTTACGATAAGTCTTTGGCGGTTTTCAAAACATTTTTTCTTTTCAAAAGTCAAGTTTGGCTGGGCGCTCTGGCTCACTCCTGTAATCACAGCACTTTGGGAGGCCGAATAGGGAGGATCGCTTGAGCCCAGGAGTTCTAGACTAGACTGGGCAACACAGTAAGACCCTGTCACTAAAAATATAAAAATAAAATAAAATAAAAGTCAAACGTTTAATGAAGCATCCGCGTGAGTTCAATGAAAGCCTGTCCCCCCACCCCACCCCTCCAACAGAAGACTGCTCTTGAAAATAAGCAGCATGAACAAATTATTTGGATTCAAATGATAAGGAAATAACAGTAAGTTCCAGTTTCTTTACTTTCAGCTTAATCTACAGCCTTTCCCAAACCAGACCATTCCCGCAGAGCCCAGAAAAAGAAGAAGAAAAAAAAAAAAGGTGGGTTAAGATTTACCCCCATTTGCTTCCCCCTCTCTTACATCGGGTCAATTCTGGAGGTTACTCTTCCTCCAAGAGTCAGGAATGCCTCTTCTTTCCCCAGGTGGTCAAGATTCTAGCGATATGCTCCTCCATTACGGAGCAGGGAAGAGGTTGTCTCTTACCCTCAAGTTACTGGACAGACGACGTTCGCCCATCAATGAGCAAACGGGTTTTTCCCTTTCGCTTTTGCTGGACACGTCTCAGACTCTTAGTGACTCTTAGTGAACGACGCCGAGCGGGGAAGAAAGACGGTTCCCCCCACGGCCTCCAGGCTCCATCAGCCACACCCCTGGCCTCTGGTCCTCCTAAACCCCCAATTCCGAAGTACATCTTACCCTCATGCCCCCAACTACTTGCTGCCACACCCGAGGATTCCCTCACCGCACCACAGTCATCATGGTGGAGACCCTTTCTCCAACCTTTTTCCTCTCACTGGTCACACCCGACGGTTCCCTGTATCCTCAACGGTCACGCTCTTAGGATATCCTCGCTTCCGCCGGTCCTCGACCCAGCCTGGGGTTCCCCTTCTTTTCGTCCCCCACCCCGTCAATTAGGGACACACCCCAAAGGCAGCCTCCCTGAACTCACCGGAGGCGGAGGCGAAGTCGAGGGCGGGGGTGGCGGCGGCAGCCGGAGAGCACAGCCCGGGTGGTGGTGTAATGGTTTCCTGCCCGTCACGATTCTTTTCTAGGTCTAAGCCACTGCGCAAAACCCACTTTGCCAGGGACAAAGATGGTGGGCAGGAAACTCTGACGTCAGAGAACCTCGCCGCGTGACGTCATCGGGGTGCGCGGGAGACCTAGCAAGGCGGTAATCTCTGTCGCCTTCCAGCCCCAAACATTTCCCATGGTCCCAGCAAAGCTGGCCCATCTGGGCCTCAGAGGATGTTAAGTGGCTACTCCAAAGGAATATATTTAAAAAGCTGACAATGGATTTGTTACCTCGCACAGAAATTCTCTGAAAAACGTAAACACAGAGATGATGAAATATCCTGTTCCTTTGTGAAAAAACAAAACCCCTCAGCTCATTTTCCTTCCAGGCTCAAGAGCGGACAATGGTGATATAACCCAGGCCTATATACGGGCAGTGGGGCTAGAGGATAGTGGTGCAGGTAAAAGAGGTTGAGGAGGCATTGGATGTGAGTTTGAATCCCTACCCTGAATGTGACTGGGAAAGTTAATGTCTCCTCAATCTTCTTATCTGTGAAATGAAGACAATGATAGTATCTCTCTCGGGCATGTGAAGCGTAAACCAGATAAATTAGGTCAAGTGCCTAGTATATAATAGGTGTGCTTACACAAAAGTAAGTTTCTTTCGGAAACTAAGACCTAGATTCCAGGACCTGGAACTGGAGAACAAGATTGATGAGGTTAAATGAACTAGCTGTCCCTAAGGTTAATTTCAGGGTGTAAGGAAGGATGGAGAGCAAAGTGATGATTTATTTTTCTCACATTTTGCCCATGAACTCTGTGAGTCAGAAAGTGTTTAAGTATTTTAAAACTTCATTCTTAAAAAAGTGATCAGAAGTACATTAAAATTTTGTATAACATACTCATGTATTATTATTTCCTGTTATTAAAATAGAGGAATAGGGGAAATTGGAAAGCCAGGTATAAAGAGAGATAATGTAAACACTTATGGTAAATCAGATAGCTGCATAATGTTATAGAATATTTTATGACAGAAAATTCATAAAGTGTTAAGTAAAAATAGGATACAAAACAATATAGTATATGGTATGACTATATATGTATAGAAAAAAAAGGCTAGGATAGGCCAGTCATGGTGGCTCACACCTGTAATCCCAGCCCTTTAGGAGACTGAGGTGGGCAGATCACCTGAGGTCAAGAGTTTGAGACCAGCCTGGCCAATGTGGTGAAACCCCGTCTCTACTGAAAAAACAAAAATTAGCTGGTGTGGTGGCACATGCCTATAATCCCGGCTACTCAGGAGGCTGAAGCAGGAGAATGACGTGATCCCAGGAGGTGGAGGTTGCAGTGAGCCAAGATCTCGCCACTGCACTCCAGCCTGGGTAACAAAACCAGACTCGTCTCAAAAAAAAAAAAAAAAGCTTGGATATTCAGCACAATGTTAAAAGTGGTTATTGCGGAATAGTGAGAGTTTTACTTTTCTTCCTAATATTTTTCTGTACTTTTCAAATACAATGAACATGTATTTATTTATATGATTGGGATGTGCCTTTTAAATCATATTGTTGAAAAATATGATACAGAAAAATGCTTTGAAATGATAAGAATAAAAGAAAGATACAAAACTCTAAATCCAGAGGCGTATATATACCTATTAGTGGTTCTCTCTGGGTGCTGATTACAAATGTTATCTTCTTTATATTTGTTTTATTTTCCAATCCTTTCTCTGAAAAATGCATATATTTTAAGGAAAAATGAACCAATGCTATTTTCAAAATACAGCATCAATCCAAAAGCTTTTCCAACCTCATTCTCTTCCACTTTTAGGTGAAAGTATTGACCAATCTCCCTTCTTTTCACCTTTTGGGACCATCACGGGCTCATAATCTAATGGGAGATCACTCAAGAAACTGTTGAAATGATCCAGCCACATGATGATGGTGGTTTAAACAAATAACTGTTGATATTTATTGAGTATGATTTTATGTCAGTTACTCTGCTAAGTACATTTTTACATCCTCACCACCTACCTGATAACCAGGCAGGTACCATTACTTCCTCTATTTTAAGAGATACAGAGAAGTTAAAAGGTAGAATTAAGATGGCCGGGCATGGTGGCTCACGCCTGTAATTCCAACACTTTGGGAGGCCAAGGCGGGCGGATCACGAGGTCAGGAAATCGAGACCATGCTGGCTAACACGGTGAAACCCCGTCTCTACTAAAAATACAAAAAAGTTAGCCAGGTGTGGTGGCAGGCAACTGTAGTCCCAGCTACTGGGGAGGCTGAGGCAGGAGAATGGCGTGAACCTGCCAGACGAAGCTTGCAGTGAGCTGAGATCGTACCACTGCACTCCAGCCTGGATGACAGAGCAAGACCCTGTCTCACACACACACACACAAGGTAGAATTAAGATTTGAACCCAGGAAGTCTGACACTAGGACTGATAAGGCTTATGTTTTAGGTTTGGGCAAGGGATGAATGGTGGTACTCGTCACTGAAAATAGGAAAATATAAGAGATGGCAGAAGTTTGGGGAATGAGAGGGAGGTGATGAGTTCATTTTATATGTTAGGTTAGAGTGAAGATCTCTATCCAAGAGGTACTTAATTATATGTGTCTGAAGATAAGGAATGATCTGGAGTTAAATTTGTGAACTGTGAGCATACAGATGATAATTCAATCTGTAGGCATGAACATTATTCATGAAGAATGTGGAGAGCTTGGGGAAGAAACAGATAAACCCAAAAATGCAAAGAGAACTGAGAAGGAGCAGTCAGAGAGGTAGGAGGAAAAGCAGAATAGTATATTTTAGGATGTTTTCGGAGTTTCATGAAAGTAGGGACTATATCAATCTGTTCACTCTTACCCATGTGAGGCCTAGCCCCATCACACACACACACAAATTAATATATGTTGAATAAATGCATAAATAAGTGATCAACAATATTAGTTGCTATAGACAGGAGAAGGAAGGGGTAAAAAGTGTCTACAGGATTTAGCAACATGGAGGTATTTGATGTTATTGCTGAGAAATCAGTAGAGATACGAAGGCAAAAGTCATACTGCAGATGTCTGAGGATGGATTAGAAGTGAGGAAATAAAAACAGGAATTGCAGGTAATCCTAAGAAAGTATGACCAAAGAAAGAAGAGATGGTATCTGAGGAAAAGAGCGGCAAGGATTTTTTCTTTCTTGAGGCAGGGTGTTGCACTGTTGCCCAAGCTGGAGTGCAGTGGTACCATTACAACTCACTGCAGCCTCGACCTCCCAGGCTCAAGCAGTCCTCCCACCTAGCCTCCCAAGTAGCTGCGACTACAGGCGTGCGTCACTACGCCTAGCTAATTTTTATTTTCTTTTTTGTAGAGGGGTGGGGAGGTCCTGCCATGTTGCCCAGGCTGGTCTGGAACTCCTGGGCTCAAGTGATCCTCCTGCCTTGGCCTCCCCAAATGCTGGGATTATAGGTGTGAGCCACCAAACTCAGCCAATTTTTTAAAGTTTAGTTCTATACTCGTATATTTTCTCTACACTAACACTCTAGCATACCATGGGTTTAATTATGTTTCTTACATATATGGCTCCAAAATCTCTATCTCTAGCCTAGACCTATTCCCCAAATTTCATCACCAAATCGATAACTATACTGCTGGGTAATTCTGTATTTATGGCCCACCAAAGTTAAATCATAAGGAGATGGAGGAGGTTAGAAAAACCTGGTTACAGAGTTGGACACAGCGGTTTACACCTATGATCCCAGCACTTCGGTAGGTTGAGGTGGGAGGATCACTTGAGCCCAAGAGTTTGAGGCTGTAGTGAGCCATGATCATGCCACTGCACTCCAGCCTGGGTGACAGAGTGAAACCATCTCTAAAAAAAGAAAGAGAAAGAGAGACAGGGGGAGACAGGGGGAGAAAGAGAGTGGGGGCGGGGAGAGAGAGAGAGAGAGAGAGAAACCTGGTTCAAGGTACAACTCCTAGCAGATAGACATAGATTTCGTAAAGATGTCATTAGAAAAATCTTTAAGAGGCTGGCCATGGTGGCTCATGCCTGTGATCACAGCATTTTGGGAGGCCAAGGCAGGTAGATCACCTGAGGTCAGGACTTTGAACCCAGTCTGGCCAACATGGTGAAAACTTGACTCTACTAAAAATACAAAAATGAGCCAGGCATGGTGACACATGCCTGTAGTCTCAGGTACTAGGGAGGCTGAGGCAGGAGAATCACTTGAACCCGAGAGGAGGAGGTTGCAGTGAGCTGAGATTGTGCCGCTACACTCCAGCCTGGGCGATAAAGCGAGACTCCATCTCGGGGAAAAAAAAAAAAAAAGAAAAAGAAAAAGAAAAAAGAAAACTTTTTAAGAGCTTTGATTCATACCTCTCTGCTGTTCAAAAACTTTCAACTTCTCATTGCCTAACATGTTTGAAAGCTATTCTTCCCCCAGTTTCCTCTATCTGTGTGCTCCTTTCTTTGCTTTTCTCATCAATAAAATGGAGGAAGATAGTAACCATAATATTGAACAATGAAATAAATTACATGTAAGGCACTTAGAACTATGGCTGGCACATAGCATGGACTATGGAACTATTTCCTATAATTGTGACTATTTTAATAAATTGCACTGAGCTGCACAAACCAGAAATCTAGGGGTCATTCCTGATTTCCCTTTCCTTCAACTGCCACATCCAATCCATCTCCAGTTGTCAATTCTACTTTAAAACCTCAAAGCCGTGGCTGGGCACTGTGGCTCACGCCTGTAATCCCAGCACTTTGGAGGCCGAGGCGGATGGATCACAAGGTCAGGAGTTCGTAACCTGCCTGGCCAAGATGGTGAAACCCCATCTCTACTAAAATTAGCTGGGCATTGTGGCAGGTGCCTGTAATCTCAGCTACTGGGGAGGCTGAGGTACAGAATTGCTTGAACCCGGAAGGCGGAGGTTGCAGTGACCTGAGGTTGCGCCACTGCACTCCAGCCTGGGCAACACAGCAAGACTCTGTCTCAAAAAAAACAAAAACAAAAACAAAAACAAACAAACAAACAAAAAACAAGTAACAAAAAAATCTCAAAGCCATCCAACTCCCTCTATTCAATCTCATGAATCCAAGCCACCATCACCTTTTGCCTGGACTATTAGAAGCCTATAAGTCTTCTCTCTACCATTGTCCACATAGTGGCCAGGTTGTTTAACTTTTTTGGATGTATAACATACATTTAAAAACGTGCATATCTAGCCTGATGCGGTGGCTCACACCCACAATCCCAGCACTTTGGAAGGCAGAGGCAGGGGGATCACTTGAGGCCAGGAGTTTGAGACCAGCCTGGCCAACATGGCAAAACCCTGTCTCTACTAAAAATACAAAATTTAGCTGGGCTTGATGGCACATGCATGTAGTCCCAGCTACTCGGGGGGTGTGAGGTGGGAGAATCACTTGAACCCGCGAGGCGGAGGTTGCGTGAGCTGAGATTG